ACAAACGGGTGATTTTTACAACTTCTTTGGTAAAATGTGCAGAAACCGTGAGAAGGTTGAACCAGGCCAGAGACTAGAAAAGGACACCAGAGAGACCAGAGAGAGAGAGACCAGAGGGAGAGACCAGAGAGAGAGACCAGAGAGAGAGACCAGAGAGAGAGACCAGAGAGAGAGACCAGAGGGAGAGACCAGAGCGAGAGACCAGAGAGAGAGACCAGAGGGAGAGACCAGAGGGAGAGACCAGAGAGAGAGACCAGAGGGAGAGACCAGAGGGAGAGACCAGAGGGAGAGACCAGAGAGAGGGACGAGAGCGTGACCAGAGCAAGACTAGAGAGAGAACAGAGAAAGAGAGAGAGATTAGAGGGAGAGACCAGAGAGAGACCAGAGACCAGAGAAGGAGACCAGAGGGAGAGACCAAAGAGAGAGACCAGAGGGAGGGACCAGAGCGAGACAAGTGAGAGAACAGAGAGAGACTAGAGAGAGAGAGGGACCAGACAGAGAATCCAGAGAAAGAGACTGGAGAGAAAGACCAAAGAGAGACCAGAGAAGTAGACCAGAGAGAGTCAGACCAGGGAGGGACCAGAGCTTACATTTGTTTGCTGGTGAGATAGTACACATTGGTCTTCAACAAGGGCATACATCATTTTAAAGCTCCGAACCAGTAAGAACAGTTTTACGGTTGGTACAAGGTACAAACGATTGATTTTTTAAACTTCTTTGGTAAAATGTGCAGAAACGGTGAGAGAGCAGATTGAACCAGGCCTAATGAACTCAAAGGCACGACTCATTTCTCACCACAGAGATGTGATTGTGTTGCTTGGAATGTACCTCAGTATCATAGAAAACTTTGCATTTTATTCACCTACAAATGTTTTTTATTATGTGTTTGATAAGTTAGGTTAGATTATTCATTATTGCCCTCTGCATTTGACACATCCTTCCAATACCAGGACCCCAGAGCTGCAGGATTTTATGTCTTTTTAGAGGTAGGGGAAACCAGAGAACGCAGACGAAACCTATGCAGACACAGGGAGAACATGCAAACACCACTCACTCAGAAAGGCCCTGTTCCGACCAGGATCCGAACCCAGGAGTCAAGACCTTCTTTTGAGAAGCGAGCTCGTCTCAGTTATAGATGGACTCGTCTAATGCCCTACTATGGAACATTCCAGGCAACAACAAAAAACCAGCATTTGGATGGAGCCACACGACAAGCAGACTCTCTACATGTAAAAAAATATGAAAAGGTGAAACTCGGAAGATTAGAATATTGTTACAAAGTGCATTTATTTCTGTGATTCAACAAAATGTTAAACCAATATTTGATGTAGACTCATTACAAGAGTCATACGTCAAGCCTTTGCATTGTGGCTTATCCTAAATATTCTAAATTTCTGAGATGTTTTATGCTGTGGTTCAAATATCAACAATAAATAAATAAATAAAAGTTTGCGTGTGGCGAGTTTGTCATAATACTTCCACATTGTGAGTTAAAATGGACTTTTATTGAACAATATTCTACTTTTACGAGCGTCACCAGTTTATATGTAGACATTCCAGTCAATGTTTTTGACGACAGTGTCTTGTAAAAACATTGTCGTTAGAGCGTGAACAATGATTCTCAATGTCTAAGTCTAGTTAGTGTTGAGTCTTGTTTAGTAATGGGTTAAAAAAGGATTACATTCGGTTGGTTCTAGTCTGATCAAAGTCCGATCCAGCAACGGTTTGGTTAACACACTCATACTGAGACACACACCCACAGACAGACACACACACAGACACACATTGAACACAGAGAGACAGAGACAGACACACACACACAGATATAGCAGACAGTGTCAAAAACGATTCAACCTCTGTTGCAGTGCACATAGATCAGTCCCAGGGTTTTCCAAAACAGCCGCCTCTCGGAAAAATCAAGGTAAAGATTGTTTTGTGAGCACGTGCAACAACGCCAGCAGCAGCTCTTTGAAAACCATACAACGCGACAGTAAAGCACTATATCCAGCTGAAAAAACCAGGACAAGAAAAAGTAGTGTCGCAAGTGAAGCCCGTTTGACAAAGGTTGCAAAGATTTTGATATTCTTTGTGTTATTGAAAGTTGGTTTTTGAGTTGGATCATTTCAATCAAGGAGACTTAAAACTCACCGGACAAAGTTTGATAAAGTCGGGTTAAATATTGAGAATTATTTCTGTGTTCTGGTCATTTCTCTCATTGGGCGGCAAGGTGGCGCGGGTGGAGTTTGCATGTTCTCCCCGTTTCTGCGTAGGTTTCCTCCAGGTGCTCCGGGTTTCCCCTACCACTAAAAATATGTATGAATGTAAATGCACCAGTGTTCGTCTCCTTGCTTCTGTCATCACCGTGTAGGCAGAATAAAAAAAAATCCTGACCTCTGAACATTGTGAAGCGCTTTGGCTGACCTCAAAGGCCTACGCTTCACACAATAATGTTACTTTATGAACTAATGTTTGTTTCCAGGTGAAATAATTTGAACTTTTTGGTTGATTTAAACACTCCCCATTTTTATTACTGAGTTACACAATTATTTGCATTTCCAAGGATGACTGGAAGACCGTATGTTTCCTCATCCTGGATTCTTCCCTCCAGCCGCTTTGGCTGCTATTCCTGCTGATTAAAAAGTAAACGCTCTGTCTGATTATTAATGTCCAACATAATGGGTTTTTTGGTATCGTCTTTGTAAATCAAGATATGAAGAATATGGGGTCCATCAGGTAAGGGATTGACCTCATTCCTGATTGTCTCTTAGGTTATTATGAGGTTTCTATTTGGGCCCATGAAGGTTTGACAAAGCTCCTCAAATTGGCTTGTTCTTGTATAATCAAAATGCTAAGAATCACACCACTGGTCTGTATTTGAAAACATAAACACATTTGGTAGAGAATGAGTTGGAGGAGAGGTTTTGGTCTCATCATCACACCGAAAAACATGTATTTTTAGTACAGATGAACTGACGAGACAGACCTAATGTCAAACTTGCATTCTTCTAGTTACACTGTCGTTGTAGAAATAGATTAGTTCAACCTCTTCCAATACGAACCACGAGTTTTGTAAAAATGGCTGACAATAACATTTGAAGAAACCGTTTTGGGATAAATTACGCAAACTAATTTTAACAGAGAAATTAAACTGGCCACGCATGAATGAATACATGTAGTACACGCACACACACACACACACACACACTCGCTCGCTCACACAGACAGACATAGAGACACACACACACACACAGAGACAAAGCATCATTTCTGGTATTTAAGTTGTAATCTATCGCCTTGTAAATGCCATATTGAAGTAGTAGCAGTGATTTGTAAAGACACTAAGAGTCAAAGGGACCGTTGTCCAAAGACACTTGGATCATAGAAAAAAATCAATCTACAGTATTTTTTTTCAATAAAAAAAGTCCAGCTTAACGTAAACTTCTCGAGACGCCAGAGAAGTCCACGATGCCCGCAGTTAATCCTTGAGGGGGAATAAACTGGGAGAAATATTGAGATGAAGCCAGAGTAAAACGTTTGACAATCTCTCCAGGATATAATCTTGCATCCAAAAAATAAAGTACCTATTTTCTCCTTGAAAAATAGAATAAAATTAGATAAAACTATTGTGCAAATTAAGACTCGTAGTTTAAAGGGAAACTTGGTATTTTTTGAGGTAGAGTTTGCATAGGTGAAGAAGAGAGAAATTCTATAGACTGCCATAGCTTAGCACAGGCTGAGATAAAGTAGACTAAACATATTGCTAAAAAGCTCCCAATGGAATTCTTAAAAGCTAAATTTCAAGCTAATACCAACTATCTTTATATGTGTTTGAATGCATGGGAAATATGTAATCATTCTGGGGATACCTTCTGACGATGCCGATACCGACAAATATTTAACAACAGCGCTACTTTATCCAATCTTTGAAGAGCAAGTACCCGATTTTTACATCCTAGAATAGTCAAGTTGCTTTTGTAACAAGTTTAGCTGTTTCTTCTAAACCAAACGGATAGTACTAGGATACCATGATTACCTTGACCTGCCTAGGCTCAAGAAACATCAAAACAAGACAAGATGACAAGATGAACCTTTCTGAAGCCAATTTTGAATAGTGTGCAGCCGTCCAATGTTGCTCTAACTTTGGAATGACAACAAAGGAAACATGTCATAAAATCCATGTAACTAGTTCTTGGCCTAAAAAGATAATCCGTCACATCTTTAGATAATTTTTTTCGGACAGAAAACGATCAGCTCTCACACTGCAAAAAGTGATGAAAAATAAGCGAAAAATTGCTCAAATTTGGCAAAATGTATCAATGGGACGAGCCAAATCATCTTGTTTTTAATAATACAAGAAATATCTCCCTTGGACTGAGACAATTAGGCAACAGTTCTTGAAATAAGACTAATGGCTTTGTTCCATTGGATAATCTTGTTTAAAGACAATGAAAATGTGCTCAAATTAAGATAAAACCACTCAAGCTAAGACTACCTAATATTTTATCATTTTTTGCAGTGCAGGTACCTCAGCTTTACCATCCCCATACTCTACATATTATCTAGGTTTGCATTGCACTTCCTGTAGCTCGACAAGCAACAGAGGTCTCCAACATGATTCGCTTGGAGAGCTACTTTTAGGCAACAGAAATGCCAGAGCTTTTTTTTTTGCAGTCGTAATAAAACTTTAGCCAATGTAATAGCTGTGCAAACTCATGAACAACACTAATGTAAAATGTATAGTTAAAATAGATATGCAATGACTAATTTGGGATCATGAGTCAAATTCCTGAATCCTTTAGGGAGCTTTCTGAGAGAGTTTGGCGAGCTACTGGTAGCTACTGAGCCACAGGTTGGAGCCCCCTGCCCAATATACCACATCAACATTGGGATGAAACAAATTTCACATGACTACACAAGAATAAAAATTGGGTACAGCCTCTTTAAGTTACCCAAACAAGCCACCGTTAAAAACTTCAAATCTCCCTTTAAACGTTGCCGTGTCACAAGGCTACGTGGCTCTTGTGCTCTGTCCGGTTAGAGAGCCCGTCCTCTGAGCTCCTGATGTATCGGACGCAGGGGGGGCCGTGTTCCAGCTCCACACTGTCGGCCTGGGTGAGCGAAGTGGACGACAATACCTTGTGGGGCACCTCAAGGCTCCTATCTTGGACCCCTGCACTTTTGGTCGAGATGTTTGTTTGCAGCTGTTCTCCAGGGCGATCTTTGGTGTAAGGTAAAGTATCTCCTTCAGAACTCAAAAAAGAATACATGTCTTTGGGTGTATCCTTGTTATTCCCAGCGGTTTCTCTTTGGTAGAGATGAGAGAGAGGGTGTTTTCCCTCTTCGTCTTTCGGGAAGGGCTTGTTAGCGGACAGGAAGTGTACTCCCTGTGACCCCACTGAGACCCCGCTGAGGCTGAGGATGTTCTTGCGAGTCTCGATGGGGAGTTTGTCCAGTTGTCTTCCGACTTGCACCGCGCTCGGAAACAGAGTGCCCTGACATGCCCTGTAGAAATATCTGGAAGAAAAACACATACAGTTGTTTCAAGTAGAAGACAAAACACAAACAGCAGTTGGATTCAATAATACCAGGAATGCATACAAAGGAAGAGAAAGAATGTGAGATACAGTTAGAGTTAAACTGGGGAGCCTAACTTTTTAGTTTCAGATAAGATCCTTTACACAGTGGGTAAATTTCGCTGTTGCATCACCAGTAACAGAACAGTAGGAATGAGGAGCACACAGCACAGGATAAGTGAACAGTAAGTCTATTTTAAAATAAAATAAAATAAAATCTCTAAATTTATCATAGGAAACAAATTAGTAAGTATAACATCTCTAGCTTTAGCATAATAAGAAGCAAGTCTAAAGTACTGTATATTCTAGTGCAACAATTATGTAGTTGTATGTGTTCCAAGTGACAAAGACACATGTGATTCTTTATTGCACATTCTTTCATACTTTTAGTGCAGATGAGTAAAATGCAGTGACGTACCGGGGCAGCAGAGCCGAGCAGGGGGTGATGACGCACAGGAAGTAGAAGAGAGGGTCCTGCAGAAGCCTCTGGATGGTCCAGTAGGGGTTGGAGGGAGAGTAACATGTGGGACACGAGGCGTTGTAACACAGAGCCACAGTGAAGAACACGACCACGCTGAAGCCGATGGACATCCAGTTCATCCAGGTCTGAAAACACACAGCCACGCAAGTGAGGAGGTCAGTGTGGATTTGGAGAGAAGAGACACTGTGTTCACCCCCCAGTGGAGAAATGTCAGTGTTGTAACGCACTGTGCTGAGTCTTTTGTTTTGTATTGAGGTGAAAAATATGTGTACCAAATATTGTAGCTTTAGGACAAACTAAATGCAAAAACCAACTTTTCAAGACCACATGATAAAAACACTGAACAACTTAATGTATCGCAGTCCCCTATACACCATGTGTGTCGCCTCTGCCAGCTGGTAACACGTGCTAAAGTGTACAATAAACTCATGTTCTGTTGTTTGTCTGATGGGCATCTGACAGAAACAGTTGGAGGAGCATTGTAGCGTTTGACACACACATGCACATAATTAATGACCTCCTCGCAGCTACACACAGAGTTCCATCCAAAGGCTTTTTTTAAACACATCATTCTTTATGTTGAAGAATGGGCTACTTGCCATGTTTCAGATGTGTTCGCGTGTTCAAAGTTATTATAGTTTTCCCTTAGCATGTGTAGCCGGTGATAAGAAGGGACGCTAGGTAACAACATTACTAATTTACTATTGAATGGTATAGAACAGGGGTTTCAAACTCATTTTGGTTTTAAAAACATAAGAACTGGTTGAGGCCAAAAGTACTTTTATTATCTTTTTCATTTTTATTTATTACATATTTGAGTTTGGATATTATTTTCTAGTAGGTTTGAATTCAAGCAACACTGGGCCAGTTTTATTTTTATTTTTAATATTTATAAGTAACTGATGTCTTAATCAACTGTAAATCAATGAGAAATCTTGCACAGAAAAGAGCACACTTTCTTTCTTTAATGCCCTGAGACGACTTCTTACCCAGGTCTTGGTCTCAATGCTCAAGTGTAGTAGAATGGTGAAAAGAGTGATGGTGATGATCGGCGTCCCCCATGTAAACAGGTCCACGTCTGAGTCTGCGTACGCCTGAAGGAGAAGGGCGGGCAAGGTAAGTTTATTTGTATAGCACGGTTCATACACATGGGTGCAACAGTGGCTCAGTTGGTAGAGCATTTGCCTTTCAGCCTGAAGGTTGTGGGTTTGAGCCCATCACTAGACCTTCCCCACATGACTCTAACATGTCACAGATGTTCTAGGGCGACTTACAAAGTAGGGGATGAAGAAGCAGATAAGGCTTTGGTAGAAGGCGTCCATCATATTCATCCAGAACATGTACGGCTTGTACTCCTGCAAAAACAAATACGGATTAATATGTAGTTAGGGTATTTTTCAAGTCAAAAAAAAAAAGCATGACATTTCTGGAGGCACCCTTTCCTCTCGGACATTCTCCAAGGGTATTTTCCATGAGGTGGAAGAATCCATAGAAATCTGATCAGATAAGAGTTTAGACCATGGCTGTCAAACTCATGAGCTGGACGGGGGTCAAACATATTCAAGTAATTTCCTTAGACAAATCATTGTTTTAAGCTCTTATTTGTTCATGTTAGCAGCAAAGCCAAATTTGATCTTGGTTGGACAACTTTAAGAATCAATGATCTATTACTTTTGTTAGAAACTTTAAGAATTATGTATTTATTTGCTTGTATGAATAAATGTGTTTCTGCTGCTTGACACCCACATTTCTGCTACGGGGAATCAATACAGTGTCTGTGGCCATACTCCCATACGAAAGCCAGATCCCGTCAAAACTCTGAAGCTAAGCAGGGTAAGGCTTAGTTAGTACTGTGTAAGTAAGTAAGTAAGTAAGTAAGTAATCTTTATTTATATACCGCCTTTTCACTGCAGATCTGAGTCTCAAAGCAGTTTACAATTTTTATTTTTGGGCATTTGTCTCTCACTCCAAACAGAGATGGGAGCGAAGTCACCAGTACAGGAGGCGCATGCCAGACCTATTGTACATATTTTTAGTGGTAGGGGAAACCGGAGTACCCGGAGGAAACCTACGCAGACACGGGGAGAACATGCAAACTCCAATCAGAAAGGCCCTGGTCCGACCGGGATTTGAACCCAGGACCTTCTGGGCGGCACGGTGGCTGAGTGGATAGCACTCTTGCCTCTCAGCAAGAAGGTCCTGGGTTCGAATCCCAGTCGGACCAGGGCCTTTCTGAGTGGAGTTTGCATGTTCTCCCCGTGTCTGCGTAGGTTTCCTCCGGGTACTCCGGTTTCCCCTACCACTAAAAATATGTCCAATAGGCATGTCTGGCATGCGCCTCCTGTTCGGCGACCCCGCTCCCATCTCTGTGTGGAGTGAGAGATAAATGCCCATAATTAACAATTGTAAACCGCTTTGAGACTCAGATCTGCAGTGAAAAGGCGGTATATAAATAAAGATTACTTACTACTACTACTACTACTACTACCTTCTTGCTGAGAGGCGAGGGTGCTATCCACTCAGCCACCGTGCCTGTGATGGGAGACCTCTGGGAACACCAGGTGCCATAGTGGTGTTGCTGTGGCTGTAACGTGCCAAACTGTCACTGTGTCCTCAGACAAGATACATCATGTCTATTAATGGTTGGCGGTGGCTGATGGCACATACTGGTTGCTTCACTTCTGTCAGTGTGTCCCAGGGCAGCTGTGGCTACAGTGGTAAATTATCACCACCGTGTATGGAGTGAAAAAGGGCGACAGTAGCTCAGTTGGTAGAGCTTTGGGCCTGAAGGTCGTGGGTTCGAGCCCACCGTAAGACCTACTTCAGGACTCCCACTGATGACTGCTGTCGTTGTGTCCTTGGGCAAGACACTTAACCCTACTTTGCCCAAAGCCCCAACTGAAAAGATCTCAGCTCCTGTGGACTCACCACCTGCAGGAGGATCAGTGAGGGGCTGGTGCTCTGTGTACTGGGTGCAGCTCTGACTGCCGCCCCCCTGACCCAGAAATGGATTAAGGGGAAGAAAATGGATGGATGGATGGGTGTATGGAGTGAAATAATAATGACGTGTGAAGCGTCTTTGAGTGTCCTGAAAAGCGCTATATAAAACCAATGCTTTATCATTATTATCTAACCATCTATCAATCTATCCAATGACCTCCTCCTGCCTTCAAACACATCACTGTGAACTGAACAGACAGCTGAACACTGATCAACTTTTCAACCAATCAATTATTACAATTGAAACCTTGAATCTTGCAGGGGCGACGGACTCTAAATCCTAACTCCTGAACCTGGCTTGAGATCTAAATCTGCATCGAAGGAGATGGTTTAGAAATTGCCAATGCAAACAAAACAGTGGATATTATCTTGAGCTTTATGCAAAAAGGACAAAATAACAAATGTGGAACGAAAATATTTGCGGACGACAGCAGCTGCAGATATTACATTTGTAAGTCAGAATCAGATCATCATTTCTATGGAGAAGACAAGATGTGCTATCGCTGAAAAATAACCACTTGAGGTAAAAACTGAGTTTGTTGTGTTTCAGACAGGGAATGAAAAGCAGAGATAAGACGGAATATTAGATTTGGAAAAGATACACTTTAAGGCCGAGTTTGTGAAAGCAACACTCATGAGATGAATATGAGATTCCGTGTATCGAGAGGTCTGTGCTCACTGTGCGGCTGCATCAAACAGAAAATATAAAGGTTATTGAACTCCATGTGAAAAAGACTCATGTAGGTTACACAGTTATGAATCATAGAGAATAGAAGCTGGGCCTTGTTCCCACTAGACCTACCCTACTCTACTCTATGGAAGTAATCTTTATTTATACAGCGCCTTTCACAGACCATAGTCAAAGTGTCCTATTGTACTGAAGGAAACCAACGCAGACACAGGGAGAACTTGCCAGCTCCACACAGAAAGGCCCAGGACCTTCTTGCAGAGAAGTAAAAGTGCTAAACGCTGTGCCAATTATATTTGTTATTGGTTTTTAGACATCCTCTATCCTTATACATGATGTTTCAGGGCTTCACCTTTTGTTTGTTTCTGAAATAAACATCTTGATTTAAAATTATGTCATTGTTGAAGCTTTAACTCTTCTGTTTCACATCAAATAACTGAGAAAACCCCAGTGCCTAAATGTCCTCCTCGCAGCTACACACCAGGTTCACTCCAAAGGCTTTTATTAAATACTGAATTCTTTATGTTGAAGAATGGGCTACTTGCCAAGTCTTGGATGTGTTTGCGTTAATCAAAGTTATCGTGGTTTGCCCCCAGCATGTGGAGTGGACACGAGTTATACTGTATTTTTTGAATTATAAGTTGCAGTTTTTGTCATAGTTTGGACGGGGGTGTGAAATTATTACATTTCAATTTTATATTTAGTTGTTCAGAAATGACACCAAGGAAGAAGATTTCATTGTATTTAGTGTGTTGCACCGATTCTTTAGTAAACTTGTAGTATGTTCTATATGCTAAAATTATCTAAAAAGACTCTTACAGTAATATGTTACGTTAACAAACCAGGCACATTCATGCGTCATACAACATACACTTATTCCGCCTGTAAGATGTTCTCTATTCTATTTTTATTTTAAATGGCCTTTCAAGATGAAACGTCTATTCCTCTAGTGTAACTCATATTTTTTAATTCTTTATTATACGTTTTGGCTGGTGCGACTTATAATCCAAAAAATACGGTGAGAAGGGACGCTAGGCGAAAACATCGCTAACTTACTACTGTATGGTATAGAACTAAATGTCTTCTTAGTAGAAACAGTCTTTTTTACCTTTTTTACATTTATAAGTCAGACTCAACTATATAGAAATGAGAAAACCCCTGCGCCTAAAGGGTTAAATAAAATTCTATGTATTCTTAGCACTTTGAGTCGCCTTGAGTTTGGTAAAGGGCTGTATAATTAACCCTCTATGCCCATGGGTCATTTTGGGGAACTTTCCTCGCCTGGTTTTCTTTGTGTATAATGGTTCATAAAACAGTCATCTTTTGATGCAGAGTCAAGCAGTATACTTTGTTTTTTTCAGTACAACCTGGGGTTTTAGAATATTCATATTGTAAAGCTGTCATATGAATTATATAAAAATGATGGAATCATAAAGACAAAGAAAAAAATCTAACGGAAAATCAATTTAACAAAAATGTATTGAAAAAACACAATGAAATGCTATAAACAACTTTTTACACTGCATAGAAATGTTATTTATGGTCTTGGGGATTATGGGGAAAAAATTGAATCTCTAACTATTATACTTTTTACAAAATTCCACTATAAAAGCAAAAAACTCTGTACTCCTGATGCCCTTCTTGAAGCAGTTTGTCTATAATGCTGGGGTTGCTTCTGTAGTACAGCTGTAAAAAACGTAAAACATAAAAAACTGAGCCAAAAAAAAAAAAAAAACATCAATTATTTATTTAATACATATATTTATATACATCATATACACATAATGTCATTTTACTGTATTTATTATCGTCTTTATCAATAATGCGCACTCTTCAGCCGGTTATTGCAATCGCAGCTGTAGTTTCAACTGTGGGAGAACAAGTAAACGCAGAGGAGTGAGACATCTCACTCTCTGACGATCTTTGGCAGTCCCCGTGTGTTTGTATCTCACAGCTGTTTGTACCTCACGGGTCATGCTTTGGACACGGACTTTCAGACAAACGTAGTTTATCCTCCGTGCATCGCACAGACAAATCAAAACTAGTTTCGGAAAGCCCTGATTACGTACTTCACAGAGGAAAAAAAAGTAAGTTGCTACGTTTTACCGTTCGCGAGTAAATTGATCATTTGTAAAACATGTGCCCGCGTGCATCAGTGCCGATGCACGCGGGCATATAGGGTTAAAATGTGATTGATAGATTGAAATCCTAAATAAAGGTGCCACTCTCCCTCTCCTCTCTCACCTCAGAGTTCTGTCCATTCTTGTACAGCTGTGGCAGCTTCTGCAGCGTCTCCGCCGACACGTCTTTGTCCAAAGTGCCGAGGATAAGTTGTGGGAACGCGGAGAACATGAGGTTGAAGAAGATCAGGTACCACTGGTCGATCATGGCCGATCCAGAGAAGCCGCAGTAGAACTGGTACCAGAAGATCAGGGCCACAAACATCTGTACAACAACAAGATCAATGTCATTACCTTCAACAACATACTTCCATTAACCTCGTCTGTTGCTGATTTAAATGAATCAGGAGTCAATACTCATTATGTGCTACCATGGCATGTTACACATTCATTCTGTTCTCATTAATGAACCCTAAACGTTTTTAGGAATCATTTGAAGTAGCTTTTTGCTAAATCAAACCAAAAGATAAATCATATGAAAACGGGCTCGGCCCTTCACAATAGGGCGATTGTGCATTTCTCCATTGTGGGATCAATAAAGTTTATCTTATCGTATCTTATCCCAATGGGTCCCCCAAACAGAATAATTGCCCACCCCAACCAAATAACTTAATATGCTAATAAGACACGATGAACCTCCCTAATAGTTTAGGAAGGTTTTAGAGTTGTTCCTTGCTGATGCAGAAGGGTCAAAGGACAGTGGTGCTGATCCAGGACATTTGACATTCAATACCAATAAGTATAAATTAAGCGGTCTGAGATGGTCATCTTGTCTTAAACCAGGGGTGCGGTCCTCAAAGGGGGAGGGAAAGCACATTTATCACACAAGGCATTAATTAAATAAACAATTACAGTACATTAAAAAGAGTGCAGATAAATCCTTCTGTTTTTAACCTGGATTTGAACATTGTCAGGGAAGAAACCTGTCTCACATTTTCAGAAGAAGACAAGATGAACCTTCCCAAACTACTAAGAGGGAAGTGCTCTTTGCTCCAACTTTTACTCAATTCATTTACATTGAAAAGTAGGGGAGTGACGATATATAGATTTTTCGATTTATCGCGATACTTTCTCCCGCGATTTGATTATTGATATGCATTTGCCAAGTATCAATATCAATAAAAAAAAAAAAACTGATTTTTTTCCCTTCCTTTTATTTATTTATTGGTATCAATACTTAATATATGGCTACATTACGCATCTCCATTCTATTTATCATAAACTAAAGTGTATTTTTTCTTTTATTTATGCCATAAATTGGCATATTGTATATTTCTGACCAATATATCAATAATCGTCAAATCGTGATAAAATCGTTATCGTGATATTATCGTTATCGTGATATTATCGTTATCGTGATATCGTTATTGTGAGCTTTGTATCGAGTATCGTATCATATCGTGAGGTACCCTTAGGTTCCCACCCCTATTGAAGAGTATTTTTTAATCCCACTGTCAAATGGCAATGAAATATAAAATAAAATTGTGGAAAACAATGTATCATTTAAAGACTAGGACTTAAAAGAGCAATGGACAGGGAGAATAAACCTTACAGCGTTCTTGTAGAAGAAGTAGAGGATCATGTTGGCAAGCCGGGAGTAGCACCAGTGTCCGTGAACCAGCAGCAGCTTCTGGAGGTAACTGAAGCGAGGCAGCGCAAAGTCACTCGCCATCACCGCCTGCCATCAGACACAGAAGGAGGTGGAGAACGTGAGATTCCAAAAACACATGAGAATCACTGTGTGTATCTATGATCTGTTAATGAGCCCTCTTCTCTCACACACAGAACACTCTCTCTGTGAGGGCCACTAACATCTTCCTCTGCAGACACAAACCAGCTTTAAAACTCAACTCAAACTATAGCAAGAAACAAACCTGTCATGTGACCACTAGACTTTTAACATTTCCTTTGTGCAGTCTTGCATATATATTTATCTGTGTTGTAACTATTATCCTACACTTGCACTTCCACTACTGGATTTTTAGAGTTTTTCTTGCTGGTGCCGAAAGGTCTAAGGACAGTGGTGATGATCCAGGACATTCGACATTCAACAGCATTTATGGACATTGTTTTATTTTATTTTATTAGTTTATTTATTTGAATTTAGGACAGTACATATTCATCAATGTGTCTGCAAACAGTGTCAACATAAATATGCTGGAATTAGCACAATAGTTAAATTGCATCCATTGTCCTAAGGCAGGTAAGAAACACACAAACACAGTTAGTAAAAGTGCAAACAATAAGTCGACAAGCAAGACAAAGAATTTAAAAGAGGAGAGAAAGAGCAAGAGAAAGTCCAAGGAAGAGCAGAATATTTAAGGGAGCATGACTTGATTTCAACCAATGTTTGAGGACTCCTTTAAATGTTTGGTAGGTCCCACAGTTTCGAATGTGTTCCGGCAAAGTGTTCCATAATGTTGTGCCTCTGATGGACGCCACCATTTGGCTGAATTTAGTCCTACGCCTTTGTATGTTATAGTCTCCTCTGGTCAGTGCTCTGGTTCTGAATACCCGGTTGTTGTTTTTTTACATATAAAATCCATTAAGGGAGGAGGAGCAAGTCCATTTAATGCTTTAAAAATAAAGCAAGCATCAAGAAACTTCTGATAACTCTCAAAATCTAAACTGTTATACTTACTTACAATGTTACAGTAATGATAAAGCAAAGGCTTCCTATCTAATGTTTTAAGTGTTTTCTTAAACAGAGACTTGAGTGTTGAACTTGTTTAATTCTGTGAGCTGTGATGGCGAATCAACAACTTTGTAAAGCGCTACTGATTAGGTAAGATGCTAAACTGCATTTTGTTGCATTGTGTGACACTGTAACGACAATAAAGTTGAATCTAGTCTAGTCTTGTGCTGCCTGTCTTGTATGTTGTAATTTATGTATTTGTCTTTCCAGAGACTACGGAAAAAAAACTAGCTTTATAGCTACAATCGGACATATTTACATTTGTTTTACTGATGTGCACTGTCCCTATTAAATAAACAAACACAAACATCAATAAATAAACCACAAGCTATAGTTATGGTATCTCGGTCTCATTAATAACTAATGTGTCTTTTTTGTGTGAGTAAAGTTAAAGTGTTATAAACCCCAGTGCATTAGGATTTGGAATAACATCAGAATGATTTCGTGTAAGAACAAGCTTCATGGAATAAGGCCTCGGGTCCAAGGCCTTCCCCAACCAGTTCTGTGTCTATGTATTCTTTTGTTTGAATAAGAGCATTGTGTAAATCAGTTAATATAATCTATTCAAAATCACAACAGTAGTTATCTCAGAGGTCTTTACAAAACTGTCGATTCACCAACATTGATCAAAGAATCAAACACTCAGGAAGTCCATCCATCCATCCATCCATTTTCTTCCGCTTTATCCGTTGCCGGGTCGCGGGGGCAGCAGTCTAAGCAGAGACGCCCAGACTTCCCTATCCACACACACTTCCTCCAGCTCGTCCGGGGGGACCCCAAGGCGTTCCCAGGCCAGCTGAGAGACATAGTCCCTCCAGCGTGTCCTAGGTCTTCCGCGGGGCCTCCTCCCCTCCTCCTCCTCCTCCTCCTCAGGAAGTGCAATGATAAAAAACACAGAGGGGCGGATGACTGATGTCCATAAATGTTAATATAGATATATAAGGTGGTCTAAAATGGTCATCTTATCTTAAACCGGGGATGTCAAAGCAATACTAAAGGGGCAAGGCAAATTTATTTGTATAGAAAAGTTTATACACAGGGCTATCACACAAGGCATAAAAATCATAATAAATTACAGTACATTAGAAAAAGTGCAGATAAAATCCTTCAGTTGTATGCACAGCTATACAGAACTATTTTTAACCTGGATTTGAACAATGTCAGAGAAGAAACCCATTTTCAGGAGACTGTTCCAGATCTCCTGAAAATGGGTTTTCAGGAGATCAGTGGCGCAGTTGGTAGAGCATTGGCCTTTGAGCCTGAAGGTCGTGGGTTTGAGCCCACCATAAGACCTACTTCACGACTCCCACTGATGACTGCTGTCTTTGTGTCCTTGGGCAAGACACTTCACCCACTTTGCCCGAAGTCCCCACTCCTGTGGACTCACCACCTGCAGGAGGATCAGTGAGGGGCTGGTGCTCTGTGTACTGGGTGCAGCTCTGACTGCCACCCCCCCAACCCAGAAATGGATTAAGGGGAAGAAAATGGATGGATGTTCCAGATCTTTGCTGCATGAATCTGCAGCTTTCTACCACCTAAAAAACATTGTCTCCAGTAGGTTAGACTACTGCAATGGCCTGCTCACAGGTCTGTCCAAACAGGCTGTAAAACAGCTGCAGTACATTCAAAATGCAGCTGCTCGAGTCCTGACTAGAACCAGGAAGTATGACCACATTAGTCCAGTTCTCAGGTCTCTGCACTGGCTTCCTGTGGCTCAGAGAATAGACTTTAAAACAGCTCTGCTTGTGTACAAGTCTCTCCATGGCCTCACACAAAAATATATTAGTGACATGTTAGTCCCATATGAACCAGCCCGAACTCTGAGGAGCACAGGGACTGGACTCCTGTTAGTGCCCAGAGTCAGAACTAAACATGGGGAGGCTGCTTTTCAGATTCATGCTGCTAAAATCTGGAACAGTCTTACTGAAGATGTGAGACAGGCCTCCTCTTTGACAATGTTTAAAACTAGGTTAAAAACAGTTCTGTTTAGCTGTGCATACAACTGAGGGATTTTATATTTTTATCTTTCTTTTTAATGTTCTGTGATTATTTATGATTTTAATGTTTTCTTATTTTGTTTATCACTTTGAGTTGCCTTGTGTATGAATTGTGCTATACAAATAAACTTGCCTTGCCTTGCCATGAATCTGAAATGCTGCCTCCCCAGTTTTAGTTCTGACTCTGGGCACAGTCCAGTCTTAACCTGAGGAAATGGATTCTGGTCTGCTCCTGCTTGGTTGGAATGAAAAACTTCAGATACACTGGGCCTTTCTGAAAACAATTTGATACAGCCGTCTTTGCCCACTCCCTCTCTTTTTTGGCTCTTTCGGCAATATGCATTAGTTCGAATACAGTGCACATCCCTTGTTCTTTGAGACCTAAACACATCAGGAACATAGACTGTAAATATTAACAGACATAATGACGCCTATTTCCTCTGTTGAAAAGTATGTTTCTTTTGAAAATGGAGCTCCTCGCGCAAGAAAAATGGGGAAAAAACGCTTTTGCGCATGCGTTAGCAGCATGAGCCTCTTTTGAGGTGGAGGCTGTATCATCTGTGCTTGCGTTACATGGATCCACCCTGAAACCTGGCTGAAAAATCACGTTAATTCAGCATTCACAGCATCTGGAATGTAGCATTGAGCCAAGAGCTGATCTTTGGCCCAGACCCTAAAACTGTTTTGGAGAGGAAAAATAGACGCCAAAAGAATTCATTAGATAATTCTGGATCCTGTATGCCACCACAGGTAAGGAGTCAGATTGCAAGCATGTCAGCGCACATGCTCAGGAGACAGGGCCGTGAGTCTCCTGACAGTGGCAGCAGCTGTGCCTATACATGGACCAAAGACACTTAATCATACTTTACTTGAGATCTGGCCTGGTCTCAAAAGCCTGTACCTCAGCACACTGCGGAGTCCTGGCCAATGATCGTCTTGTTAGGTATAAATTTTGTTAACAGTGATTAATTGTCGCAGTCAGAGTGTGGAAACAGGGCTGTAACAGATGCGCCGCGCTGCAGTAGGTCTCTCCTCACTCCCCTGGATTATAATTGGTGATCTCCATACAAACAGCAGTAATGTCAGGGGGGTCAACTGAGACCAGGGGTGGGCTACTCTTTATACAGTATGTGTTTCAGAGTAAGGAGACATTTAGAAATGAGAAGAGATGTAAATTAAAAATTATTAAATAGGGCTTTTTGTTCTTCTTGCACACAGCAGAAAGATAAAGCCCATGAATAAGACTCAGAATGGAACATGTTTGTTTTAAAGAAGTTCCCCCGGCCTTGTAATTGTACTGCAAAGTCAACTGTCATAAATATAAAAACCCTGTGCTTATGTAACTAGCTGTGAGTTATATTGAGTTATATGAGTGTTAGTTTAATGCTGTTATTTTTGAGAAATGCAAAATAACAAAAAAGGTATAATTCTCAAACTGGGGGAACACTGTGTTAATGAGTTAGTCAGGGCTAATTTAGCTGCATAGTCAGATGTATGCAGCTACAATCTGAAACAGTCTTTTAGAATGTTCGAATCCATATCTATCCATCTTTCTATCTACACTCAGTACATTCCAATCCATGGAATGTACTGAGTGAGCTTTATGTAAAAACAGGCACAAATGTAAGTTATATGAGAAACGATTGAAAGACACCAGGAACTAAGCTAAGTAAAGCTAACCAAGTGTGTGGGTACAGTGCTTGCTGCATGGGGCACAATATTTTTATGGCTCAAAATAAAACATTCTGTTTCCATCTGGTTTCGTTAAGCACTTTGAGCTGCCTTGTGTATAAACTGTGCTATACAAAACAAAATTCCCTTGCTATATCAGTTTTAAGTGATCACCATTTTGCCAAGACAATGACAAAATACAGTTGACGCCTTTGTTTTTTCATTTTGATGAAAGACTTTAAAAAGTTCTCCAAACGAGTCCAGGGGCTAAAAAGTTTAGTCCAGCCACGACAGGAAAGTGTGAGAAGCAGCAAAGTCCAGAGCGTTTAGTTTGTAAAGTGCAGTGCTGCTGTAAGGGACGGTGGACAGAGGCCTGAGTCAGCAGCTCCAGCAGCACATTTACAAGATGAGTGGGACAGAGGCCTCGTAAGTCCATTGAATCAAATATTGAGCTCTAAATGCCAATGTCCTTTTCCAATTTCATAGAAGTTAATAGTGACTGCTTGATTATAGGCACGGTGATAAATGTTGACAATTTTCAGATAAGATTAAAATCATGATTATGTAAACAGAAGTTACAGTTCATTTCTTCTCCAACTTCTTCTTGTGCACTTAGTATTCACATGAAAGTGAACGATACGGTATGTGATAATAGTGCATTGGATTTATATATCTTTTTTGGACATCTATAAATCTGTATGAATATTTGTAATCTTCCCCTTGGCTCCATGTGTTTTTTTAATCTCCTGAGATAACTATTATACTGTTGTGATGTAAGGCTATACAATAATATACAATCTGGGTTTCACCTGCATGCCTTCTTGTCCTGAAATGCCCACTCCAACATCTGCGACTTGGATCATGCTCACATCGTTTGCTCCGTCACCTGGGAATAAAATATATGAACGTCATTTTTATATATATATATATATATATGAATATATAAATATATTTATCTTTAATGATACAATCACAACACATTGTTTACAAACACAACAAAACATCTACCGTACTTTCTGAACTATTAGGTGCACTTTTATAAGAAAAAAACAGTGTATAGCTGCTAAAACTTAAATAAGTCCATAATTGCTCATCTTAAAAAAACATTGTTTCTCAGGGTGAATGGGATTGTAACGATAAATGTGAATATTGTAGACAAGACCAAAGCAAGTTACAACTGACAAGTGTGAAATGGAAAAAAGTTCAAATTGATGCAGTCACTAAGTATGATCCAATAAAGTACATTTTACCCTAGTTTGGTGCTATTGGAAAAGTGCACGACTAATCAGTCAGCTCCAATTTTAAGGAGTTCAAATCCATTTAGCAGAGAGCAAATTCTCGATAAATGAGGCCCTTTATCTCAGGAGCAAAAAAATCCTTTTAATGTGGGTCTATGAAACACATTGGTGTAACGACATCATCATTTAGTCACATTTACAACATCTAATAAGATATGTCAAGATTACTATCCTATATCTTACACTTGTCTGGTGTTATACCATGATTATGTTTTTAATGCCTTATTCTGATCAGCACTTGAATCCAATATTTAGAAAATAAAGCCTAAACAGTAAACTTTCTCCTTCTCTGATCATATACTTTTGTTCACATCGGAAGTGCAGTTTCAGTAGCTCTTGTCGGAGAGAGTTTGTGCGCCGCGGGAGTGATGGCAGCCGCGGCCAGAGCTAGGGACGACTGTGTTGTTGTTGTCACGACTTTAAAACGCTGAATGAATGAGAGATGGAGGTGGTGACCAAAGCTCAGAAGGTGACGGAGGTTGGGAACATTACAGCCCGAGTGTATTCAGGTAATGCTACTGTAGAGACGCGTTTTCAATAAAGGCCAATAAACAAAAGAGGTTATAAAGGGGAGCTGGTGATTGCGACTTAATGTACCATTATAAATGTTTAAAGGCTAGACCGTGGCTTTGGGAAACTTGAGCATTACTGTAGAACTGCAGCTGATTTACAGTATGTGCTTTCAAATCCAAGAATCAGCGTGGCCACTTTTCCTCTAAATGTGTGACTCCTTCATAATTATGGCCATGTTCCACTCATCTTTGGCAGCCTTTTGACTCTTACCGTTTTTTCCCCTCAAGATTAAGCGGAGAAAAGTCTTTAACAGTGCACATTATAATCCGGTGTGCCCTATCTTTACATTTCTGGCTGTGTTTACAGACAGTTAACAGCTATACAGCTAGTTATATGCCAAAATCTAAAAGTCGGAGCCGGCACGGAAGCCGGACGCGTCACTCGTGAATGAATGACACGTGAATGAATGCATCCGATCGGGCAAAATCAATGCTAAGATTTGGGTCTAAGAGTCTTTGTTTGTGCTCTTGCACTTAGTTGTACCCGCATCCAAACCACATTTATTCACTCTTGTTTGTTAAAAAAAAATAACAAAAAAAGTGCAAGTTCGTCCACTTAAATAGTCTGAGTGAAACAACAAATGTTCCAGGAGTTGTGCGCACGGACGGATCCCTGCTAAAGCTACAAACTCCTCTTGGATCTCTCACTAAAGCTACACACATTTTCATAATTTCTTTCTTTTTACATTTAGGTCTAAAATATGTGTATGTTAGTGCCATATGAACCGACTTAGACTCTGAGGAACAGGCCTCCTGCTGGGACTCTGAGGAGCACAAGGACAAGCCTCCTGCTGATGCCCAGAGTCAGAACTAAACATGAGGAGGCAGCTTTGCAGATGTATGCAGAAAAAAATCTGGAACAGTCTTCTACTCTGACCATGTTCAAATCCAGGTTAAAAACAGTTTTGTTGAGCTGTGGATACAACTGAAGGATCATACAGTGCCTTGCGAAAGTATTCGGCCCCCTTGAACCTTTCAACATTTTGCCACATTTCAGGCTTCAAACATAAAGATATAAAAATGTAATTTTTTTTCAAGAATCAACAACAAGTGGGACACAATCGTGAAGTGGAACGAAATTTATTGGATAATTTAAACTTTTTTAACAAATAAAAAACTGAAAAGTGGGGCGTGCAATATTATTCGGCCCCCTGGCGCTAATACTTTGTAGCGCCACCTTTTGCTGCAATTACAGCTGCAAGTCGCTTGGGGTATGTCTCTATTAGTTTTGCACATCGGGAGACTGGAATTCCTGCCCATTCTTCCTTGCAAAACAGCTCGAGCTCAGTGAGGTTGGATGGAGAGCGTTTGTGAACAGCAGTCTTCAGCTCTTTCCACAGATTCTCGATTGGATTCAGGTCTGGACTTTGACTTGGCCATTCTAACACCTGGATACGTCTATTTGTGAACCATTCCATTGTAGATTTAGCTTTATGTTTTGGATCATTGTCCTGTTGGAAGATAAATCTCCGTCCCAGTCTCAGGTCTTTTGCAGACTCCAACAGGTTTTCTTCCAGAATGGTCCTGTATTTGGCTCCATCCATCTTCCCATCAATTTTAGCCATCTTCCCTGTCCCTGCTGAAGAAAAGCAGGCCCAAAGCATGATGCTGCCACCACCATGTTTGACAGTGGGGATGGTGTGTTCAGGGTGATGAGCTGTGTTGCTCTTACGCCAAACATATCGTTTTGCATTGTGGCCAAAAAGTTCGATTTTGGTTTTATCTGACCAGAGCACCTTCTTCCACATGTTTGGTGTGTCTCCCAGGTGGCTTGTGGCAAACTTTAAACGAGACTTTGTATGGATATCTTTGAGAAATGGCTTTCTTCTTGCCACTCTTCCATAAAGGCCAGATTTGTGCAGTGCACGACTGATTTTTGTCCTATGGACAGACTCTCCCACCTCAGCTGTAGTTATCTGTAGTTCCTCCAGAGTGATCATGGGCCTCTTGTCTGCATCTCTGATCAGTATTCTCCTTGTTTAAGATGAAAGTTTGGAGGGACGGCCGGGTCTTGGTAGATTTGCAGTGGTTTGATACACCTTCCATTTCAATATAATTGCTTGTATAGTGCTCCTTGAGAGGTTTAAAGCTTGGGAAATCTTTTTGTATCCAAATCCGGCTTTAAACTTCTCCACAACAGTATCTCTGACCTGCCTGGTGTGTTCCTTTGTCTTCATGGTTCTCTCTGCGCTTTAAACAGAACCCTGAGACTATCAAAGAGCAGGTGCATTTATACGGAGACTTGATTACACACAGGTGCATTCTATTTATCATCATCCGTCATTTAGGACAACATTGGATCATTCAAAGATCCTCACTGAACTTCTGGAGTGAGTTTGCTGCACTGAAAGTAAAGGGGCCGAATAATATTGCACGCCCCACTTTTCAGTTTTTTATTTGTTAAAAAAGTTTAAATTATCCAATAAAATTCGTTCCACTTCATGATTGTGTCCCACTTGTTGTTGATTCATGACAAAAAAAATTATTTTTATATCTTTATGTTTGGAGCCTGAAATGTGGCAAAATGTTGAAAGGTTCAAGGGGGCCGAATACTGTATCTTCATTCTTGCACTTTTTGCATAATTATTTCTCCTTAATGGGAAGAGGAGGCAGAACGCACAGAAGAGTGAATTTGACAGAACATCAACTACAGTAGATGACATGAGCACCGCGCCAATACATAGACAAAACAAAACAAACTGAGCTCAAAGGAATCACGTCCACTTTTCCATGTTCAAGAGTATTAAAAAATTCATTTCAATACCTTTTTGAACCATGGCACATCATCACATGACACTGATACTGATACAAACAAGCATCAACTATATACAGTCATTCTCAAAGTGTATGATATAGAAAATCCAACAAGAGCATAAAGGTCTTTCTAATCTTCTCACATCATTGACCTTTCCCACATTTTGACCCAGTGATATTAGGTACATTTCCAAAGGCACCCCAACCAACATCTCAAGGCTCAATACGTTGCCACGGCACACTGTTAAAAAACACTGCAGCTGGAATAGATAAAAAAATGCAAACAATTTGTATCCGTAAATGTTATACAGTGCTACTATAAATGTAAAGCTCAAGCTAGCCTTATCTCCATGCCTTAATATGCTACTAATTGTTTTATAGTTGTGTAAATAGTTGCCAAATGACAACACATGCTTTTGTTATGGCCCCTTGTCTTCTTAATAGTGCTTATAATGCGTTCTCTGGGGCTCTTACGGTGACGCTGAACGAGATTACAGATGAATAGTTGCCTGATATGTCCACGCGGCTGATATGATGTCCCCACAGAGACAAGAAATTAGAGGCTGGGACATGTATTTCCTCTACATAACTGCCAACAAAGCAATGACAGAAAATCGCTTGGCTGGCAGAAAATACCCCTCCTGAGCGTGCACCAACAAATAAAACTGTAAACAGGGAAAGACAAGCATAGGTCACAATGATGCCACGATTTCACCTCCAAATCCTACACAGGTTTGTTCAGGAAAGGCGTAATTACGGATGCAGCCCTGAAATAACCCCACACGACTTTGTCCTAAAGGTGTAGGTTGATTAATTGTACATAGTTTGACGATACAGCACTTTGAGTTGCCTTGTGTACAAATAAACTTGCCTTGCCATACATTTCAAAGTCAAAATGTATAAACGAAAAAGAAAGTGGACGACCGCTACTTTTCAGGATTCTAGTCACTATACCGTGGGATTGGAGTTGATTTCCATTTAAATTATATATGTAATTAGTCAAAGGAAATGGAAAAGATGTTTGAGAACCTCACTTTGTGAATTCACATTAGGCTAGAGATTCACTTCTTGTGTTGTAAATGTTAAACTCTGGATTTTAATTGTTTTACTAATTTTATGCCTCTATCCCTTTCTCTATCCATCCATCAATCGATCTTCTTCCCCTTGATCCATTACTGGGTCGGGGGGTGGCAGTCAGAGCTGCACACAGTACACAGAGCACCAGCCCATGTTCCCTTTTTTATCTAACATTTTATTCCACA